TTTAGGGTGGGGAAATGACCTTGGAGGGCCTCATCCAGCCTGCAGGCCTTAGTTTGGGAACCTCTGGTTTAAACTTTAAACCTATACCTTGAGATATGGCTGGTTGTTTCAAAGCCAGTTTAAACATTAAACCTAAACATCCAGCTTTGAATTACAGCATGCCTGTCCTAAAAGCAAGGCCCTTTGAATATAATGCAACTTGAGTTCACAGCACACATGCACAGTTTTGCCTTGTAAGCAAAAAACTAGGCAAGCTTATCTAGTCTAAAAGCACAAGTTAAACCTTTATCTCTGAAGTGTCAAGCTGGAAGAAGTTTCAAAGGTTATTGGGTGATACAAAGCAGACTTTTCTGTGTGACTGATATGCACCCTGAAGGAACAGTCTTCTAACGACTTAAATCGTTATCCATGGAGGTGAAAAGTCAACTTTGACCAACAACATCCATGGCCTTGGGTCTTCTGTCTCCCAACTTTTTCCAAATGTGAGATGCTTTAGCTAAGTTTGGGCTGAGACCTTTTAGAGTCATATCATCTCTTGTTCTGAAAGGGGCTTTTAACTGAGTGGACATTGTAAGTTCTTTCAAAGCACATTTAGTGCTCAATGTTTGCTGGGTTAAGGGCACATAGCACCCAAGAAAAGAGAATAGCCATGAATAAAAAATGTATTTTTTGTCTACTGAAAGAACACCACTCTAGGACCCCTTCTACACTGCCATATGAAATCTAGATTATCTGCTTTGAACTGGATTAAATGGCAGTGTAGATTCATATAATCCAGTTCAAAGCAGATAATCTGGATTATATCACAGTGTAGAAGGACCTGATAAACTCTACGTCAGTATATTGTCGAAGGCTTTCATGGCCGGAATCACTCAGTTCTTGTGGGTTTTTTCGGGCTATATGGCCATGTTCTAGAGGCATTTCTCCTGACGTTTCGCCTGCATCTATGGCGAGCTTCCTCAGAGGAGACCTCACCTCTGAGGAAGCTTGCCATAGATGCAGGCGAAACATCAGGAGAAATGCCTCTAGAACATGGCCATATAGCCCGAAAAAACCCACAAGATCTACGTCAGTATTTCTCAACCTGGGGGTCGGGACCCCTGTGGGGGTCGCGAAGGGATGTCAGAGGGGTCGCCAAAGACCAGCAGAAAACACAGTATTTTCTGTGGGTCATGGGGGTTCTGTGTGGGAAGTTTGGCCCAATTCTATCGTTGGTGGGGTTCAGAATGCTCTTCAATTGTAGGTGAACTATAAATTCAGGCAACTACAACTCCCAAATGTCAAGGTGTATTTTCCCAAAACTCCACCAGTGTTCACATTTGGGCATACTGAGTATTGAGTATTGTATTATTTTGCAGGGAGAGTAACTCATTGCAGTACATGCAGGCCTTTTCTAGGAAGTTACTTTTTAAAATATATTATTCTATTTTTTCAAAAATAAACATAGCCCCAAAACACTTGTAATCTATTCCCCTAAAGCAGCAAGTTGAAAATGATGGGTTTATGTTTTTCATTCTACCCCTCCAAAACAAATTAAAGGCAACAAGGTTACCTGTTCTTTAGTTGTGGTTGTTGTTGTTGTTGTTTTTGAAGGATTAATATTATGCTCTCACCACTCCCCATGCTATTGTGTTAAAAGTAAAGTTATAGGGAACATCACTGTTTGTGTTATGTTACTCCGGACTTTGAGCATTCTGCACATTCAGTTGGAGGAAGATTAAGAGGGGAGGATTAGGAGGAGGATTAGAAATATTTTAAAAGATTTCTTAAAGAAGAGAAGGAAAAATAATTCCTTTTTGTGAGCTGCAGCAATTTAATGCATAAATGGGCCCATTTTGGTTTAAGATTAAGAAAAAATAGAATAAATGTGTCCAGGAAACTCAAGATTCTGCCATAGAGCATCTTAAGGAAGGTTTGGGTAGTTACTCAGAAGCAGACCTAATACTGCTTTAAAAGTAGTCAATTTTTTTTAAATCAAGCACTCAGCATAGACTTATGCAAAGTAGGCTTGTGCATGGATTTAACAATTTTCCTTTGGCTTGTTCGGTTTCTCCAAATGGCCATAATGGCAAGGGCTCAGTTGCCACGTTTTTTTCACCCAATATGGCCCTTTTATTTGGGAGCACACGATGCATGCTTCCTTAACCTCAATTCTCAAATCTAGGCTTCCTTGAAAGGAAAGGGTCCCACAAAAGATGCTTCCTTAACCCGTTACTCAAACCCAGGCTCAGGGGCGGCTCATCCATTACGCGAAGTAAGCGGTCTCAGAACACTTTTTTTTGCCAGGGGCGCAGAGGCGCCTCTGTAAATGCCCCTCGACTGCCACTTGAGGAGCGCCCCCTCAGCTCACAACAGCCCTAGCAGTCCGGGGGGAGCCTCGGCTTTCTTGCCTCGCTGCTGGGCGATCCTCTTCCAAAGGGCCCGGGCCCTTGAGCCGAGCCTCGCCCCTCTCGTTCCTGCTCCACCCGGCCACCGGGTGCGCGCGCAGAGCCGGCGCTCAATCATTCTCCATGTTCGATCCCTTCTCCATGACCGGCTCCCTTTCGCGATTCCCCCGGCGCTCCACCCGCCTCCTCTCCTCTCCCCAATCTGCGGGTGGGCCAAGGGGCGGAGCCGCCGCGCCTGGCCTGCTTCGGGTCCGGAGGCGTGTCTGAAGACCCCCGCGTGCGCACCAAAAGTCGCCTCTTCTCCTGACTTTCTCTTCAGCCATTGGGACCGAGAGAGAGAGAGAGAGCCCCTCCGGCTGGAGGTATCTCCCACCTCTGCTCCCTCCTTTGTTTTTGCGCCTACCTTCAGGAAAGGTGGGCATCTCCACCTCTGTCTCTCTCTCTCTCTTGGTCCCAATGGCTGAGGAGAAAGTCAGGAGAAGAGGTGACTTTTGGTGCACACGCCGGGGTCTTCAGGCACGCCTCCAGACCCAAAGCGGGCCAGGCAAGGGAGCAAGTGCGGCAAGTGTAGTTACTGGGATGTATAGTTCACCTACAATCAAAGAGCATTCTGAACTCCAACAATGATGGAATTGAACCAAATATGGCACACAGAACTCCCACGACAAACAGAAAATATATATCAATGATTGGTTGGGGGGGGGGGCGCCAAAATACTGTTTGCTTACAGTTGAAAATTACCTAGGGCCCCCTCTGCCCAGGCTCCCTTGAAGGGAAGAAAGGAAAGGGTCCCAGGGACAGAAAGGGGAGCCTTGAAAGCTCCCCACTGCTGCCAATTAGCCAGATCTTCCCGAATCTTTTGGCTGCCTAGCTGAAAACCGCCAATTTTCAGGAGGCTCCTGAAAACGGAAATTTGGATACCGAAAACAGATCGCCCTCCAGCCGAATTGCACAAGCCTGATGCATTGTTATTTAGAAGTAAACCAAACAAGGTGGAGGTTTCCCATGGGTAAGCATTCCTGCAATCCTGTCCTTGATTCCTGAGTTGTCATGACCCACAGCAGATCTTTTCAATGTCTGCCTGAATTTGGGCTTTGAACAGGACACGCTTTGAACAATTAATTAAGAGCAGACCAGCAAATATGGATGTTACATTTCTTGTCTGCAGGCAGATCTCTGTATAAGATACCTTTTAGAGCACATGCAGGGATCACCTGCAAACATTTGACCTTACTTTGCCTTTCTACTTTTCCTGTATAGTATAGTATTTATTTATTTATTTATTTATTTATTTATTTATTTATTTATTTATTTACAGTATTTATATTCTGCCCTTCTCATCCCACAGGGGACTCAGGGCGGATTACAATGTACATATACATGGCAAACATTCAATGCCATAGACACACAACATATATAGAAAGACAGAGAGGCAATGTAGCATTCCAACTGGCCACCAGGGGAACTGTTGCTTTACCGTCCATTTGTGACACTGATGAAGTACTTCCTCATTCTTTGCAGGCTTGCTGGAGATTTTTTTATGGCATCGTAAATTAGTTATGGTATTCCCCATAGTCACCTACGGATGTGAGAGCTGGATCTTAGGGAAGGCTGAGTGAAGGAAGATAGATGCTTTTGAACTGTGGTGTTGGAGGAAAGTTCTGAGAGTGCCTTGGACCGCCAGAAGATCTCTCCGCCTGTCCTTCTCTTCCTTTTTGGAAACAGATGGCGAATCCTCCAACCAAAAGCCCTCCTCCTTCTGTAATTGGCCATCCTCTCAGCCAAGGGGAGGGCTGTTTGTGAGACTCCGAGCAGGGAAGGGAGAGCAGGTGTGCTGGCTGCATGGCAGCACTGTGTGCATGCATGGGCGAGTGTGTGAGGTCAGAGGGAGGCTTGAGCCAGTGAGTCCCTTCAAGGCCGTGGAAAAAGCGCCGGCACAACATGGGACTGATTTTTGCCTGAACCTTGTTTCTCCTCCATAACGGTATCCTTTTTCAAAGGAGCCAATGATGGCTGAGTTAGATGTTCATCCTGTGGCATTGAGGTGTAGTGGAAGTCTGGCTAAGTGACTTGATAACATAATCTTAAATGAATATAAAAGAAGGAAAAACTGGAGAACATCCAATCAAATCCACAGAAGAAACTGGAGACACATTGCATGATGATCAAAATATAAGTTTTCTATTGATAAAAAAAATCTGACACATTTCAACCTATATATGTACTTTGCTCATACTGTTTTTTACTTCTTTTGGGCGATTTGGACTCATAGTTCAAGGACTATCAAACTATTTGTTGGACAACCTTTCTGAATTTTGATTTTAAATTGTCCCTGCTATTTGGATCAAAACTGGGAAACTAGGAAATGTCTTGCTGTGCTGGAAGTATTTTTTGTTTGCTTGTTTGTTGTTATAACCCCCAGCATCCTCCAGCCAGCATATTTGGGCAGATGTAATATCATGGTACCTGTGGTACGCTGCCAGGGAGCAATATAACCCCTTTAGATCCTCTACTCTTGGCTTGAAGAGAGTGTTGTTTAAACCTGCTGCCTTAATGTATTTCCACACAACAGCAGCCCATTCTGTCTTCTAACATTCAGTCATCTTTTCACAGGCGCTGCTGAAACTCAATGGAGGACTCCAACTCTGTGGGCTACTGCATCGTGGCCAGTAGTTTTGTGGCCTTCCAATTCTTCTTCTCAGCTCTCAGCCCCCAGTTGTCCCTGTCGCTGAGCCCCCGCTATGCCACTCTTCCCTCTGTCAAGCAGAATGAATGGAATTCCAGGTACAGAAGTGGGGTGAAAAATTATTTATTATGATTTTTATTTTTATTTATATCCCGCTTTTTCTCTCCATAAGGAGACTCAAAGCAGCTAACATTAAAATCATTACGATACAATGTAAAATATACAAATTTTAAAACACCATTAAATATAATTACTATTTAAAACAATTCAAATTAAATCAATAAAACATAATAATAAACTTTATTTATACCGCGCCACCATCTCCCCCAACGGGGACTCGGAGCGGCTTACATGGGGCCAAGCCCAAACAAGTTACAATACAAAAATACAAATTGCAATAAAATAAACCACATAACAATAAAGTATAAAACATCAAAGCATATAAACAATATACACCAAACATAGAAACCAAACATAATGACAGAGAGCGGGCCGCATGTACATAAAATGATTTAAAATCTCAGGGTGAGATAAAGGGGCAGAACGGTTTGTAAGGGAGAACTCATAGAGAGACAGAGAAATAAACAAACCTTCGTATGGGGGGACGGGGACAGGGGGACTCCTGGGACAAGAACGTTGAGAAAGCAATAGCATAAAATTATGTGACTACTCTCTGAAAGCGCAATGGCAGAGCCAGGTCTTGAGACTCTTTTTAAAGGTTTCTAAAGTAGGGGCTTCCCTAATCTCTCCGGGCAATGAGTTCCAGAGTCGGGGGGGCCACAGAGGAGAAGTCTCTCTCCCTTGTACCCACAAGACAAGCCTGAGAAACTGGCAAGGGCGAAAGGAGGGCCTTCCCCGAAGATCTCGGGCTGGCTTCTTGGAGAGTGATACGGTCACGAAATAGGCAGGTCCCAAAACGTTTAGGGCTTTATAGGTAAGAGCCTGTACCTTGAATTGGGACCGGAAGATGAACGGTAGCCTTAAACAGGGGGGTTGACTGCGCCCTGTAAGATGCCTCTGTTATTAATTCTGCTGATCACAGTTGGACAAGTTGTAGTTTCCGGGCCATCTTCAAGGGTAGCCCCACGTAGAGAGCATTGCAATAGTCCAGTCTAGAGGTAACTAAGGCATGAGCAACCATGGTCAAGTCAGGCTTCATGAGGTATGGTCGCAGTTGGCGCACAAGTTTTAATTGTGCAAAGGTTCTTCCAGTCACTTTCGACACCTGTATTTCAAGCATCAGCGCTGAGTCCAGGAGAACCCCCAAACTGCGGACCTGTGACTTCAGGGGGAGTGCAACACCATCCAGCACAGGTTGCCACCCAATACCCTGGTCAGACGGGCGACTGATCTGGAGGACCTCTGTCTTGTCAGGATTGAGCCTCAGCTTGTTCCTTCTCATCCAGTTCATCACAGCAGTCAGGCACTGGTTCAGTATCCTTGGGGCTTCCTTGGAGTCTGGTAGAAATCAGTAGTGGTGTTGAGTGTCATCTGCATAGAAATGGCACTGTACTCCAAAACTCTGGATGACCTCTCCCAGCGGTTTCATGTAGATAAAACATATAAAACCTCAGCAACCCCTGACATTATCTTAAAAATCTTCATCTTTAAAACCCTGCCTGAATAAAAGGGTTTTAGCCTGCTGCCAGAAATACAGCAGGGAGAGAGCCATTTTGGCTTCTTTGGGCAGAAGGGAGTTCCAGAGTCAAGAGGCAACCACTGAGAAGGAAGGCCCTCTCTCTCATTCCCACCAACTGAGATGGGACCGAGAGAAGGCCCTCTCCTGAAGATCTCGGGACTCAAGCAGATTTGTACAAAGGGATGTGGTCAACCAAATAGCCTGGACCTGAATCGTCTATGTGTGCGTTCAATCCTGGGTTAACACTTAACTCTTCTTTTTCCTGCTACTTCTTCATAGGTGCGTGTCCACCCTCCATGCCTTAATAGTTGGACTCTTCTGCCTCTACATCCTTTGGTTTGATGATGCTGTAAATGCCAACCCCATCTGGTAAGGAGAAATCGAGCACCTGGCTTGTACTCTCATTCTGCCCTTAATCTCTCTCTTGTAATCTCCCCCCCCCCCTCTGTTTCACACACAAACACATACACACACTACTATTCTCTCATAATATGCTTTACCACCCAGTCGGCACACTCTGTTTCCTCAGCCTGCTCCCTTCAAGCCAGAAAGAGAGGCAGAGCCCCTAAGCTTGATTGGCCCCATTGTGCTGGGAAACCATGAAGGGCTGTTTTGTGCTAGGAAAGAATAGGCTCTTGTTCCCCTTTGGGTTTAGGACTGAGCCGGATGGGGTGGAATCAGCTGCAGGCAGGAGCTTGTGAGCCAGGACTGGCACTGGGCCCAAAGAGGTGCTTTAGGCTGCTGCCTGGCTATCCTCCTGCCCTGGTGATAATCGACAGTGGCCATGCTTGGGTCTCCCTCGGCCTCTCATTGCTCCCAAATAGGGTTGGCTGGGCTAAGTGTCAAAGTCCTGCAGGCATCTCTTTCACATCCCGTCTGTGCCATTTCTGTTTCTGTCCCACCTGCCCATATTTTGTTCCAGCCAGCTTCCTTGGCCCTCCCTGTGTCCTGAGAGCTCATGCCTTCTGGTCTGGTGAGAGTTGTCTTCTTCTCTTGCCTACAGGCTGCCACTTCACTACTTATAGAATCATAGAATCAAAGAGTTGGAAGAGACCTCATGGGCCATCCAGTCCAACCCGCTGCCAAGAAGCAGGAATACTGCATTCAAATCACCCCCGACAGATGGCCATCCAGCCTCTGTTTAAAAGCTTCCAAAGAAGGAGCCTCCACCACACTCCGGGGCAGAAAGTTCCACTGCTGAACGGCTCTCACAGTCAGGAAGTTCTTCCTCATGTTCAGATGGAATCTCCTTTCTTGTAGTTTGAAGCCATTGTTTTGTGTCCTAGTCTCCAGGGAAGCAGAAAACAAGCTTGCTTCCTCCTCCCTGTGGCTTCCTCTCACATATTTATACATGGCTCTCATATCTCCTCTCAGCCTTCTCTTCTTCAGGCTAAACATGCCCAGCTCCTTAAGCCGCTCCTCATAGGGCTTGTTCTCCATGCTCCATATCTCTTGGGGCTTGACCCTTTTACTTTTCACCTCTACTTTCCTCTCTCTTTCCTTTCGTTCCTGACATTAGATAAAAACAATGGCCCCTTCTACACTGCCATATGAAATCCAGATTATCTGCTTTGACTTGGATTACATGGCAGTGTAGACTCATATAATCCAGTTCAAATCAGATAATGTAGATTATCTGCTTTGATAATCTGGATTATATTGCAGTGTAGAAAGGATCAAAGAGATATGGAAAAAGTAACTTGTCTCCTTACCAGACCTATGGCCCTGCATATGTTGCTACTGGTCAACTTCCGACATGTTTAAATGCAATGTTTTAGGTTTAGAAAAATTAGCCGTTTACAAGAAACATTGCTCGGGGGACACCCAACTGTATTTAATGTATTGTCAAAGGCTTTCATGGCCAGAATCATTGGGTTGTTGTAGGTCTTTCGGGCTATATGGCCATGTTCCAGAGGCATTTCTCCCGACGTTTCGCCTGCATCTATGGCAAGCATCCTCAGAGGTAGTGAGGTCTGTTGGAACTAGGAAAAAGGGTTTATATATCTGTGGAATGACCAGGGTGAGACAAAGGACTCTTGTCTGCTGGAGCTAGGTGTGAATGTTTCAACTGATCACCTTGATTAGCATATAATGGCCTGACAGTGCCTGGAGCAAACTTTTGTTGAGAGGTGATTAGATGTCCTTGTTTGTTTTCTCTCTGTTGTTGTGCTGTTGTAATTTTAGAGTTTTTAAATACTGGTAGCCAGATTTTGTTCATTTTCATGGTTTCCTCCTTTCTGTTGAAATTGTCCACATGCTTGTATTTCAATGGCTTCTCTGTGTAGTCTGACATGGTGGTTGTGAGAGTGGTCTAGCATTTCTGTGTTCTCAAATAATATGCTGTGTCCAGGGTGGTTCATCAGGTGCTCTGCTATGGCTGATTTCTCTGGTATTTACTCAGTCTTCGAGGAGGCTCTTTCCGTGTCCCCCAATTTCCAACATGCTTGTCAAATGGCTAGTCTGGCTCGGACTGATGGGTATTGATGTCCAGCAATATCTGGCAAAGGCAGGCCTCTTTTATACTGCCATATAATCCAGATAATCAAATAGTCCACATTATTGAACTGGATTATACAAGTCTACAGTGCTATATATGGTAATCCAGTTCAAAACTGGTAATCTGGATTTTATACGGCAGTGTAGAAGGTACCACAGTCTTATCAATCCTGGAGGCAGTTGCAGCCAAAGGTTGTACTCCAATCTTTTATTCAAGACCTGCTCATTTGCAAACCAAAATGTTTTTATTGGGTTCTTGTGGGTTTTCTCGGGCTATAGGGCCATGTTCTAGAGGCGTTTCTCCTGACGTTTCGCCTGCATCTATGGCAAGCATCCTCAGAGGTAGTGAGGTCTCTTGGAATTAGGACAATGGGTTTATATATCTGTGGAATGGCTGGGGTGGGGCAAAGAGCTCTTCTCTGCTGGAGCTAGGTGTGAATGTTTCAACTGACCACCTTCATTAGCATTTGAAGGCCTGGCTGAGCCTGGGAAAAACTTTTGTTGAGAGGTGTTTTTATTGCTTTTACAACCTTAGTATGCATTGCAGTTCAGGTAATATATGCATTTCAAATTAGGAAATTGAGATGCATAATAGTTATTTAAATTACCTTGATTCTATCAGTTGTAACTAACGAATGACCCTACTATATTGCTCTTATCCTTAATGCTGCGATGCGACCTATGCACTTATTATTATTTTTTGTTTGTTCTTTTGTTTGTTTGTTTACTGTATTTATACCCCGCTCTTCTCAACCCAAAAGGGGACTCAGAGCAGCTTACAGATTATGGCAAAATTCAATGCCGCATCATACAACAAATAATAAATATAACATATCAAATTATAAAACAATTAAAACATCTAAATGCAGTAAGTGCAACAACAAATAATAAATATAACATATCAAATTATAAAACAATTAAAACATACAAATGCAATATAACATGTTAAAACATAGTTTAAAAACTTTACCCACGAGCCCTATCCTCTGAACTGTGGTGCGTCAATCCATCCTCCTATATTGAGACTTGAATTATGCCATTGTTGGTTTCGTCGCTTGCTTTATATATTGCTATAATGTTTTTTAATGCTGTTTTGAATTGTTGTCATGCATTTTAATGCTTTGTTGATTGGTCTGCCCCGAGTCCCTTCGGGGAGATGGAGGCGAGAAATAAAAATGAAGTTGTTGTTATTATTATTATTATTATTATTATTAACGAAGACCAAATCAGTGAGTCTTTTGGTTTAAAGATCTCTATGTCCTTGCTGGCATGAATGGTGATTCATATGGTTATTCATAAAATGACCATAAGAATTTTGGATTTTATGAATGGTAATTCATAAAATCCAAGTTTAGAGCTTAGTCCATTAATAGGGAAAAGAAATGGCACCTTGAGTTGGAGGGGAAGGGAGACCCCAACTGTTTTAACATCCCCGTACTGTTTCATCTCTGCAGGGGAGACCCTTGGCTAGTCAAACTGAACGTAGCTATCACCTGTGGCTATCTGCTCTATGGTAAGTAGCAAGCTTCCCTCTTTCACTGGGTGGGCAGAAGTTATGAGGTAGCCACTGAGATTGATGTCAGTGCAAGAATTAACTGGAGAAATCTTAAAACTGTGGATTCTGATTCCAAAGAGGGGCCCCTTAGCTTAGTGTTGGGGGCCACGAAAAATATGGCTGCAGTAAAAGTTTTCTGAATGCCACCTATTTACACAAATGTTAGCAACAAGGTGCAATGTTATGATGGACTCTGCAGAGTATAGTGGACATCAGCTGTATTCCACAAAAAGGAAAATGAGCCTGTTTAACAAGCCTTACAAATACTGATTTATTATCAGGAAATGTTTGATTTTTATACCTATTTTATACAGGGGGGGGGGGGGAGTATTTAGTCCAATACCAATTGCACAAGTTCTCCCACTTAAAAAGATGAGAGAGGCCTGTAATTGACATCATAGGTAGACCTCAACTATGAGAGACAACATGAGAAAACACATCCAGAAAATCACATTGTCTGATTTTTAACGAATTTATTTGCAAATTAAGGTGGAAAATAAGTATTTGGTCCCTAACAAAAGTTCATTTCAATATATTGTCGAAAGCTTTCACGGCCGGAATCACTGGGTTGTTGTAGGTTTTTTTGGGCTATATGGCCATGGTCTAGAGGCATTCTCTCCTGATGTTTCGCCTGCATCTATGGCAAGCATCCTCAGAGGTAGTGAGAGTATTCATTTCAATACTTTGTTATATATCCTTTATTGGCAATGATAGAGGTCAAATGTTTTCTGTAAGTCCTCACAAGGTTGGCACACACTGTTGCTGGTATGTTATGTATTCATATGTTTTATGTAACTATGATGTTTATTGTTCATGTTTTCGGTTTTTCTTTATTGTAACTGTCATTTGGGCTTGGCCTCATGTAAGCCGCTCTGAGTCCCCATTGGGAAGATGGTGGTGGGGTATAAATAAAGATTATTATTATTATTATTATTATTATTATTATTATTATTATGTTGGCCTATTCCTCCATGCAGATCTCCTCAAGAGCAGTGATGTTTTGGGGCTGTTGCTGGGCAACATGGACTTTCAACTCCCTCCAAAGATTTTCTATAAGGTTGAGATCTGGAGACTGACTAGGCCACTCCAGGACCTTGAAATGCTTCTTACGAAGCGACTCCTTTGTGCTTGGGATAATTGTCATGATGAAAGACCCAGCCACGTTTCATCTTCAGTGTCCTTGTTAATGGAAGGAGGTTTGCACTCAAAATCTCAAGATACATGGCCCCATTCATTCTTTCATGTGTCGCCCTGGTCCCTTTGCAGAGAAACAGCCCCAAAGCATGATGTTGCCACCGCCATGCTTCACAGTAGGTATGGTGTTCTTTGGATGCAACTCAGCATTCATTCTCCTCCAAACACGATGAGTTGTGTTTCTGCCAAACAGTTCTACTTTGGTTTCATCTGACCATATGACATTCTCCCACTATTCTTCTGGATCATCCAAATGCTCTCTAGCAAACTTCAGTCGGCCCTGAACATGTCCTGGCTTAAGCAGGGGGACACGTCTCGCACTGCAGGATCTGATTCCCTGGCGGCATAGTGTGTTAGTGATGGTAGCTTTCGTTACGTTGGTCCCCGCTCTCTGCGGGTCATTCACTAGGTTCCTCTGTGTAGTTCTGGGATTTTTGCTCACCATTCTTGTGATGATTTTGACCCTACGGGGTGAGATCTTGCATGGAGCCCCAGATTGAGGGAGATTATCAAAGTCTTGTATCCCTTCCATTTTCTAATTATTGCTCCCACAGTTGATTTCATCACACCAAGCTGCTTGCCTATTGCAGATTCAGTCTTCCTAGTCTGGTGCAGGGCGACAATTTTGTTTCTGGTGTCCTTCAACAGCTCTTCGGCCTTCACCATAATGGAGTTTGGAGTGTGACTGCTTGAGGTTGTGGACAGGTGTCTTTTAGACTCAGAACAAGTTCAAATAGGTGCCATTACTACAGGTAATGAGTGGAGAACAGAGGAGCCTCTTCAAGAAGAAATTACAGATCTGTGAAACCCATACATCTTGCTTGTTTGGAGGTGACCAAATACTTATTTTCCATCTTAATTTGCAAATAAATTAGTCAAAAATCAGACAATGTGATTTCCTGGATGTGTTTTCTCATGTTGTCTCTCATAGTTGAGGTCTACCTATGATGTCAATTACAGGCCTCCCTCATCTTTTTAAGTGGGAGAACTTGTACAATTGGTATCTGACTAAATACTCCCCACCCACTGTATATCTATACACCCGAAGTCACATAAAAATGTCTCAGATGAAAAGAGTTTAAGAAGCCCTTTTCTAACCAACCATGCCTATGATGGTGTCAGGACAAAGAGAAATCCCTGCAGATATTGAAGCTCAGGCATTCTTGTCAAGGGAGAGATGATATTTAAGGGTTATGCAGTCCAACATCTGGACAACTGGACTAAAGAAATACATGAAATATACACAAGTGAACTGAGTTCTCCCGATTGAATACAAAGATATTTATTTATTTCACGTATTACAGGTTAAGTCCCTCTTATCCAAAATGCTTGGGATCAGAAGTTTGGATTTTTCAGATTTTTGTATAACTGTATTTACATATGTGTACAGAATGAGATATCTTGGAGATGGGATACAAGTCTAAACACAAAATACATTTATGTTTCATATGCACTTTCTACACATCACCTGATTGCAATTTTATCAAATATTGGTATTGAAACAAAGTATGTGTACATTGAGCATCAGAAAACAAAGGTGTCACTATCTCAGTCACTCATGAGGACAATTTTGGATTCCAGAATTCTGAATGCTCAGCCTGTACTTACTTTAAATATTTTCTCCTCAACTTTCCTTTAAGAATGGTACAAGTTTAAAAATATATATGTAAATACAGCTTTCAGGCAATTGGAAAAGGAACAAGGTTTTAAAAACACTTGCCAAGATTAACCACTTTTGAGTTGACATTTGAATATCCTTGGAGAGGGGACTTTGTGATTGATTTCCCAGTTCTGAGGTGCTTGGCAGGCCCAGGTGTCTATCTCCATGCATCCTTTGAAGAAAGCCCCAAGTAAGCTGTTGCATCTTCTGCCAGAGAGTATCTTGCTGTCATCAACAAATCACTTCCATTCATCTCAGTTGTCCAATTGCAAGATGGAAGTCAGTGGCCTCGAAATAGTGCTCAGTGGTCTATAGCACAAAGCCCCTTCTCACATAGCCCAGAGTTGGGCAAAAGTTTGCTCCCAAATATCCTCCCAATGTGTCCTGGGGGGTGATGTATTTGTACCACATGTTTGGGCTCCTAAAGCCAATTTGGAACATTTTAAAATAGAGTTTCTGGTTGCAATATCATAAATAATGTCCAATTAGTTTAGCTTTAGAGAAGCAACACGGATTTTAGCTTATAACTGTGCCTTATGGCAAAGTTAGATTTTATAAGACCTTTTTTTGCTTTAGAACCAAAGTGCCTTCATCATATTATACAATGGACTTCAACTTACTTTCAGATGTTTAAAAATGCCTCTCCTTACTTCTTAACTCATCTCTGTCAGACCAAACAGTACTGTCAGGTCATCCTTTATTTTGCTTTTCACGAGCTGAAGAAGAAACTTAGGCCCTTTCTACATATAAAATCCAGGTTATCTGCTTTGAACAGTGTAGACTCATATCCTGTTCCAAGACAATTATGTGGATTATCTGCTTTGATAATTTGGATTATATTGCAGTGTAGAAGGGGCTTTAGTATGATTGTTGTGGAAATATACAATAAGATTATTGGACAATGTGTGTGTGTGTGGTAATGGCTGGGGAATCATGTTTGGGAATGCCCAAGCTTGTCAGCAAGTATGGAAAACACAAGAATGGCCATCAGACTGGAAAAAATCACTTATATCCCTTTACCAAAAAAGGGAAACGCTAAAGACTGCTCAAACTTCCGTACAGTGGCCCTCATTTCTCATGCCAGTAAGGTAATGCTCAAGATCCTGCAAGGAAGACTCCAGCAATACATGCAGCGAGAGTTGCCAGATGTACAAGCTGAGTTTAGATAAGACAGAGGAACGAGAGACAAAACTGCCAATATCCGCTGGATAATAGAGAAAGGCAGAGAGTTTCAGAAAAACATCTATTTCTGTTTTATTGACTATTTTAAAGCCTTTGACTGCGTGGATCTTAATAAACGCAGTTTATTTCTTGGTAGTATGGGGATACCAAATCACCTTGTCTCTCTCCTGAGGAATCTGTATAAGGACCAAGTAGCAACAGTAGGAACTGACCATGGCACAACAGACTGGTTCAAATACGGCAGGGTTGTATACTCTTCCCCAACCTATTCAACTTGTATGCAGAACACATAATGCAAAGATGTGCGGGTTTGACAAATACAAGGCTGGGGTGAAAATTGCTGGAAGAAACATTAACAACCTTAGATATGCAGATGATACCACTTTGATGGCCGAAAACGAGGAGGAGCTGAGGAGCCTTCTAATCAAGGTGAAAGAAGAAAGTGCAAAAGCTTCTCAATCATCACTCATCCATGAAAACCCACTGGGTGACCCTAGACAAGTCACACACTCTAGACAAGTCACACACTCCAGGAAATTTTGTGATAGATTCACCTAATGGTTGCCATGCATTGGAAATGACTTGAAGGTACACAACAACAAAAATACATTTCTATTTACTGAGGATCTGGGGAAAGAAGGGGATGAGGGGTGACTTACAGGGAGCAGTCAACCCCCCGTTTAAGGAGCTCCACTGGCTGCCGTTCATCTTCCAGTCCCAATTCAAGGTGCAGGTTCTTACCTACAAAGCCCCGAACGGTTTGGGACCTGCCTACCTGCGTGACCACATTTCTGTGTACGAACCTACGCGATCTCTTCGATCATCTGGAGAGGCCCTGCTCTCACTCCCGCCCCCTTCGCAGGTGAGAGGGAGAGGGCCTTCTCTGTGGTGACCCACTGACTCTGGAACTCACTCCCCAAGGATATCAGACAAGCCCCCACTTTGGCAGTCTTTAGGAGGAGCCTGAAAACGTGACTGTTCCAGTGTGCCTTCCCTGAATAAAGGAAACAATGCCCTGCTCTGATTAATTCTCTGCAATTGTCCTCAGAAGCACTTTACTACCCGGTTGGGTTGGTCTCCCTACATTATCTTTTAAAACCCTCCTGCTTAGATACATCCTACCTCTTTTCACGCCCAGTGTTTATTTTAAGATTTTTAATTTATTACATCTGGCCCGGCCATAAGGTTTTAAATTCTCTGTGTTATTGTTTATATGTAAGTTATATTAATTGTACTGTTTTATTTACTTGCTGTTTTGTTTTTACTGATGTGTTGTTGGGCTTGGCCTCATGTAAACCGCCCCGAGCCCCCTTGGAAAGATGGTAGCGGGGTATAAATAAATTATTATTATTATTATTATTATTATTATTATTATTATTATTATGAGGAATGAGTGAGTGTGTGTATTAATGTAACTGTTTTACAACTACTTCTTGAATATATACTCCCTGGATTGAAGGGAGGGGAAAATACCAAATACACACCACCCCTTTCACATCTTCAGTTCCTAAAAAGATTTCCTCTCACCTCATCACCATCCAACTGCATCCTTTGTTGACTGTTTGGCTATGATTTGGCCATACATTGTTATATACAAGTTTGTGAAGGCACATTAGCAAAGCCCTGCAGATAGCTTGCTATTCCCAATTTTTGACAAGTTGTTGGTTTGATTTATGAAGTTCTGGCAGCGTTCTTTAAAGCTGAAATGATTTTCCCTCAAAATTGTCAGGGCCTACTAAACAAAGAGCAAAGTTTCTGGCAAAATGAAATAGTGGAAGAAACAGCTCATGGAATGGCAGGGAGATCTGAAATCTCCCAGTTAGCATCGCCACTGATGCCTTGTTTTGGCTTTGCTATCATGTCAGGAAAAGCTTCCCATGCTTTCTCTAGGTAACGGGGTGCAGGGCTGGTGAAGGCTCAACAGTCTTGGTAAAAAAGGTGGCCAGCCTGGTTGCGTTTCCCTCTCATGTCTGCTTGATCCTTGTTTCTTGCAAGTTGATATTTCAGTAAACCTTCCTTGTGTGTGTATGTGTTGTGTTCTGACTTCTAGATCTGTTGCTGCTAGTGCGCTACTGGAGAACATTGGGAGATTCACTTTTCGTTTGCCACCACTTGGCAGCGCTATACGCTTATGGATATGTATTGGTTAGTTCCCTAGCGCTGGGTCGGGATGAGCTTTCCTGTATTTTCCATTCTCCTTTTCTTTATCCTAAAACGTTTCCTTCACTTCAACCACTTCTGTGCTTCCTTCTCCTTTTCCTCTGTGATTTCCAAATACGTGAAGTGCATTTCCACAGTTGAGGGGTTTTTGAAGGACAAAAGAAAGAAATATCAGTGCAATCCTAAGTGTATTTACTCAGAAGTGGAAACAAGAAGGCCTGGAAAAAAACAGGAAAAATTAGGAAAAAAACCAGTTTTTTTCCCAAGTCATTTTTCCAGAAAAATTGAAAAGTGTGTAGAATATAATATTTTCTAGAATATAATATTTTCCGATGGTAATTTTATATATATATCCGAATTTGGTGTCAATTCATCCAGTGGTTTTTGAATTCTGTAAATCCCACAAACGAACATTACATATATATATATATATATATATATATATATATATATATATATATAATGTTCGTTTGTGGGATTTACAGAATTCAAAAACCACTGGATGAATTGACACCAAATTCGGACAGCATTGCTCTTAAGTTGAACAGATACATTTTTAAGCGTAACTTCAACCATATGTATATGTGTGTGTAACCAAGATTATGGCAACAAGAATGATTGACAACTGGGAAATAGAGGGAGAAAATGTGGAGGTCGTGACAGACTTTGTATTTCTAGGTGCAAAGATTACTGCAGATGCAGACTGTGGCCAGGAAATCAGAAGACGCTTACTTCTTGGGAGGAGAGCAATGTCCAGTCTTGATAAAATAGTAAAGAGTAGAGACATCAGACTGGCAACAAAGATCCGCCTAGTCAAAGCCATGGTATTCCCTGTAGTAACCTACGGATGTGAGAGCTGGACCTTAGGGAAGGCTGAGCAAGGAAGATCGATGCTTTTGAGCTGTGGTGCTGGAGGAAAGTGCTGAGAGTGCTTGGACTGCGAGAAGATCCAACCAGTCCATCCTCCAGGAAATAAAGCCCGACTGCTCATTGGAGGGAAGGATACTAGAGACAAAGTTGAAGTACTTTGGCCACATCATGAGAGACAGCAAAGCCTAGAGAAGACAATGATGCTGGGGAAAGTGGAAGGAAGGGCCGGCCAAGGGCAAGATGGATGGATGGCATCCTTGAAGTGACTGGACTGACCTTGAAAAAGCTGGGGGTGGCGACGGCCGACAGGGAGCTCTGGCGTGGACTGGTCCATGAGGTCACGAAGAGTTGGAGACGACTGAACGAATGAACAACGAACAATATTACCATGCTTATTTATACCCCACTTTATCTCTCCTGCAGGAGACATATTGGAGTTACACTTAAAAATGTACCTGTGCCAACTTACATACAAATTCAACTTAAGAACAAAACTACAGAATCAATCTTGTTTGTAACTTGGGGACTGCTTGTAAATCACCACTATTCCCTTTTCTTTATTGTACTGCTCAGAACTAATGGGAGTTACAGTCTGAAATGCCCAATCCTTATAATAAACGGAGGGGAGCTTACTCATGATTTAAGCCCAGCTTAGGGTATCACACTGAAGAATCATAGAATGATAAAGTTGGAGGAGACCTCATGGGCCATCCAGTCCAACCCCCTGCCAAGAAGCAAGAAAATTGCATTCAAAGCACCCCGACAGATTGCCATCCAGCCTCTAAGAGCAGTCCCCAACACCATTTCTCAGGACATCCTTCTTGCTTTAATATCTCTTCCACTTGCAACTAAGGATTCAATCACTCCATCCTGTTCCTGATTTCCTTTTCTTCTCTTGCTCTGTTTTTTTTCTCCCTTGTGGGCATTAACTCACTGCATTTCTTGTAGTCACTCTCCTGTGCGTGGGCTCACCCTATGATATTTGGAATTACTGACACCCCAGGAGTGTCTCTAAAACCCTGTCTTTTTTGTGTGGGTGAGGGAACTGGGGCAGAAGAAATCTCCACTAAAAAGGCAATTTGTTTTGTGAAGTTAAGAAAAATCCTTTTTTGGACCCCAGCTCCCAGAAGCCTGTAGCCAATATGGTCACTTGCTTATGGTGGTTGTAGAACAAAAATGTGACATCCCTTAGCACTGCTTAAATGAATGAAGCTTCAGTCCAATGAGGTGAAGCTCTTGATGCCTTGGGAGATGGGAGAAGAGAAAGGCAAAAATAATCCCTTGGTAACATCAAACAACCAAAGAGAGGAATCATTTGGACCAGCTTCTGTTGGTATAAACATATACAGGCTTTTAATTATGCCTACATGTAGGCTTTCATCCCATTCTTTAGACAGAAAATAGTTTTTGCTATGTACGTCTATATGGGTGGTAGCATTGGGTCTGGTTATGTTGGTTCTCTGCTCTGTTGCTATCTAACCACTCTCTGCTTTGCTTCCTTATGGGGGGTAAGTGGGAAGGTGGGGGATTTCTGCTCAGGATTTTAGAGGTATCTACATCTTCTGCCATTGGAAGGAGTAGGACAGTGGTGGCTGGGAGTGTTCCTTGTCACTGACCCAGTGAACTGTATTCTGGGTTTGAGCCTGAGCTTTAAAGGAGCTGTCCAACGTTCTGAACTTCTTTGGGATTGAGCGCCTTAGGATAACTCCTTTAAAGTTGAGACTGCTATCCAAGGCACGTTCCCCATTCCACTGACAATGGAAGCCACTAGCCACAGATGTAGCAAGGCCTGTGTCACTGTCATGGATGTTGTCCTGGCAACTGAGGGTTTCCTTTTCTGTCCCAATAGAGCCGTGGGGTGCTGCCCTTTTTTGCCAACTTCCGTCTCATCTCGGAGCTCTCCACACCCTTCGTGAATCTACGGTGAGTTGACTCGGAGCATGTGGCAAGGGATATGGGCTCAAGAACTTGTATCAGAAAGTTGAAATGTCTGTCTCCCCTTAGACTCAATTTGCAGACAGGGAGGTGCTAAGGCAGTGATTCTCAACCTGGGGGTCGAGACCCCTGGGAGGGTCATGAAGGGGTGTCAGAGGGGTCACCAAAGGCCATGAGAAAGCACAGTATTTTCTGTTGGTCATGGGGGTTTTGTGTGGGAGGTTTGGCCCAAATCTATGATTAGTTGGGTTCAGAGTACTTTTTGATTGTAGATGAACTATAAATCCCAGCAACTACAACTCCCAAATGTCAAGGTTTATTTTCCCCAAACTCCACTAGTGTTCACATTTGGGCATTTTGAGTATTCATGCTAAGTATGGTCCAGATTCATCATTCTTTGGGTCCACAGTGCTCTCTGGATGTAGGTGAACTACAACTCCAAAACTCAAGGTCAATGCCTACCAAACCCTTCCAGTCTTTTCTGTTGGTCTTGGGAATTCTGTGTGCCAAAGTTGGTTGAATTTAGAATACACTCTGATTGTAGGTGAACTATTGGTGGAGTTCAAAATACACTCTGATTGTAGGTGAACTATAAATCCAGATTCCAGAGAAGTCGGCCATAGCAGAGCACCTGATGAACCAACCAGGACACAGCATATTATCTGGGAACACAGAAATGCTGGACCACTCGAACAACCACCATGTCAGACTACACAGAGAAGCCGTTGAAATCCACAAGCATGTGGAAATTTTCAACAGAAAGGAGGAAACCATGAAAGTGAACAAAATCTGGCTAGCAGTATTAAAAAAACTCTAAAATTAGAACAGCACAACAACGGAGGGGAAACAAACAAGGACATCTAATCACCTCTCAACAAAAGATTGCTCCAGGCACTGCCAGGCAATCAAATGCTAATCAAGGTGTTCAGTTGAAACATTCACACCTAGCTCCAGAAGACAAGAGTCCTTTGTCCCACCCTGGTCATGGCAAACATTCAATGCCTGGGTACAATACATAAACATTAAAAAAACATTTATCTAAATATTAAAATACACCATTTAAAATAACATAATTTAAAACCGTCCTAGCCATCCGCATCAAATCCAATTGACCCTGTCATCTTTCTCATTTTTACTGACACAAAAACACAGTATGTCACAGCAAACGAGATCTATATGCTGGATTTCATATCACAAAATCACAAGTCGAACACTTCCCAAGCGTCTAGGACTGTGTGATGTATTTTCGAATGATGCATGCAGATCCAAGTAAGGTGGCCTTTTGCAGTTGACAGATCGTGATTTTGTCAATGTTTATTGTTTCCAAATGCCGGCTGAGATTTTTTGGCACGACACCCAGTGTGCCAATGACCACTGGACCACCTGTACTGGTTTATGCCAGAGCCTTTGCAGTTCATATATGAACCCACACGATCTCTCCGTTCATCTGGAGAGGTCCTGCTCACGATCCCACCTGCGTCGCAAGCGCAATTGGTGGGGATGAGGGACAGGGCCTTCTCCGTGGTGGCCCCCCGACTCTGGAACTCCCCAAGGATATCAGACAAGCCCCAACATTGGCAGTCTTTAGGAAGAGCTTGAAGATGTGGTTGTTCCAGTGTGCCTTCCCAGAATAGGAAACTCCTAGCATCATGTCCCAATTGCACTTTACTAGAGATTTAAGATTGTCTGCACACCGCACCTATCTCCAAAAACCTATTCATCTCACCTGTCATGTTCAGCATTTTAAAATTTTAATCATTACATTTGGCCCGGCCTTAGTTTTAAATGCGTCGTGGTGTTATTGTCTAATGTTTATTGCTATTGTTTTAATGTTTATTGCTTGTTTTATGAGTTTATTTATTGTTGTATTTGTTATGCTGTTGTTTTATTGATGTGTTGGGCCTCGGCCTCTTGTAAGCCGCACCGAGTCCTTCAGGAGATGTTAGCGGGGTATAAATAAAGGTTTATTATTATTATTATATTTATGCCAGAGCCATTATTATTATTACTACTACTACTACTACTACTACTACTACTCAGAAGGCACACTCTTGAATCTATAACATCAACCTATTGCTCCAATTGGAAATGCTCCAACAATACAACAGTACTTTTAAACAAGGCACAAACTCCACATGTGCCTTGTTCTTAGAGTGAGATGCATCTCTGTATTTACAGCCGTTGCTTATTTATTTATTTATTTATTTATTTATTTATCGTATCAGAAGCAAACCAAGGGTACAGTTGCAATGTATTTCTAAAACACGAAGTTTAAAAAACTTGGCATTATATTAAATGTCCTTTGAGCAGTAGCTGGCCACTTGGAGTGCCTCTGGTGTTGCTATAAGAAGGTCCTCCATTGTGTATGTGGCAGGGCTCAGACTACATTGTAATAGATCCTCTGTGGTTTGCTCTTCTCCACACCTGCATGTTGTGGACTCCACTTTGTGGTCCCATTTCTTAAGGCAGGCTCTGTATCTTGTGGTACCAGAGCACAGTCTGTTCAGTGCCTTCTATACATGACCTACATGAGGAGGTACAGCAGCCCTTGGTGGGTTCCAAAATTTTGTTCCCTGCATTGACAGAATTACCCGTCAATGGACACCATAGGTGATTTCATATCTCCATGGGAGATATGTCTGATTTCTTACTTGGATCTGAGCAAGTCAGACAGTATATATCGCCTTTTTATTTCATTTCACCTTGGGTACGGTCTTCTAGGCCACCTTCTATGTGGGGAGGGGCTATGTCTATTTAACCCTCTCTTTTTGTTCCTTCAGATGGTTCCTAGACACAGCTGGCTGGCCCCGCTCTTCCTGGATTGTCTTGACCAATGGCCTAGCCATGATGGTAGTGTTCTTTGTGGTGCGTATTGCCGTCATTCCCTCCTATTATGCCCAAGTGTACTTCTGGTATGGAACGCCAGAATATGAACGCCTAGGCTTGTGGGTACAGCTGGCCTGGATTGTGCCCAGTGTTGCCTTGGAAGTGCTCAATGTGGTTTGGATGTATCGTATCATCCGTGGCTTCTACCGGGCCTTCTGTCGGTCCAAGACACACAAAGCAACATGAAGCACCAAATGAAGCTGTGTATGGCCAGGAACATAGAGACCTGCTGAAAAAGCTTGGACACCTTCATCTAATTCCCTTAGAAGCCAGTAGCCATAGGAACCGCTCTTGACCATTCCTTTGGGCCAGACAGCTTCAGAGCCACACAACAGAAGTCTTTGGCTTTCGACTCCATCCTAGAGTGGTCTTTGTCATTCTGACCAAAGTCAGCAGCGGATTACCACAGAATAACTATCAACCCAAGTTCTGGTGATAACCTCTCTGTGGCACATGACAAAGTTGGAGATGCATATTATAGTTTCAAAGCAAGACGTATGTGCCCAGCAATACATGGCAAACACATAGAAGAATATGCAGCTGGTTCAATGACTGTTTGGTCTTTGGGGTTGAGGTCGGGCTCTTCAGACCTGTTGTAGGGCAGCTAGAATGGGACTTGAAATGGTCAAGTAAATGAAACTCCTGGCTTGAGCTTCATATAATAAGAACTTAACCAGTTTCAGCTGTAAGCCCATTAGCTGGACTAATGGGTGTCATTGTCTCCTGGGTAGAAGATCTTCTGGCCTTATGGATAGAATCTTTTGGAAGAAGAGAAATAATAAATCAAGGAGATCCCTATGGTGGCGGCCCTGGGTCCTGATTAGAAGTATGTTCAAAAGACAAGGCGGATGGACAGAAAAGAAAGCATATCTGTGATACGTTGGAAATGGTGGACTGCCAGATTCATCAGCATGATATGTGGAGAAATTCCTTAACAGGCTCTGGGATGCAAGCAGTAAATGTCGGGAAACAAAGCAGCAAATTCCCTTTCTCTAGCAGGTCTGCTTGGAACACTTATTTTCCACTTGGTGATTTTTCTCCTTTCTGGGGTCCTGAAACTATCCCAGAGAGTTAACAAAGCAAGAGTGCATAATCTCCACTTTTAACTAGAAGAGCACCGAGACACACCTTGGCGATGTTTACTCCTGTTTCAACAACTCACAAATAAAGTGTTACATCAGGGAATGACATAGCCGCACATTTACGAAAGATGTATCAAAGGGACATAGTCATCTTTTGTTAAAAAAAAAAACCTGCACAAGTATTGGGTATGATTCTGGATCTGGATGGCTCTCGCTCCAGTAGTATGTCTCTTTATAAGGAAAACCTAAATTTCTGCAGCACTAAGCACAGCATTTTGCCACTCAGATAATGCAATTCCCCTGATTCCTAATGTACACCTTTGTTATCACCTGATTTTATGCTGTAAACCAGGGGTCCTCAAACTATAGCCCGAGGGCCAGATGCGGCCCTCCAAGGTCATTTACCCGGCCCTCCTCAGGGTCAACCTAAGTCTGAAATGACTTGAAAGCACACAACAACAACAATTCTATCTCATCAGCCAAAAGCAGGCCCACACTTCCCATTGAAATACTATCAAGTTTATTGTATTGTCGAAGGCTTTCATGGCCGGAATCACTGGGTTGTTGTAGGTTTTTTCGGACTGTATGGCCATGGCCTTAGAGGCATTCTCTCCTGATGTTTCGCCTGTATCTACATAGTCTACATAGGTAAAGGTAAAGGTAGTCCCTGACATTAAGTCCAGTCATGTCTGACTCTGGGTGTGGTGCTCATCACCATTTCTAAGCCGAAGAGCCAGCGTTGTCCGTAGACACCTCCAAGGTCATGTGGCCGGCATGACTGCATGGAGCGCCGTTACCTTCCCGCCGGAGCGGTACCTATTGATCTACTCACATTTGCATTTTTTCGAACTGCTAGGTTGGCAGAAGCTAGGGCTGACAGCGGAAGCTCACGCCGCTCCCCGGAATCAAACCTGCGACCTTTCGATCAACAAGCTCAGCAGTTCATGGCATTAACCCACTGTGCCACCGGGGGCTCCCGGTGTCTACATAGTCTACATAGGGACCACCAAACACAGCATTGCCCAAACACGAATCAAGGAACATGAAAGGCACTGCAGACTACTTCAACCAGAGAAGTCAGCCATAGCAGAGCACCTGATGAACCAACCTGGACACAGCATTATTTGAGAACACAGAAATGCTGGACCACTCTCACAACCACCATGTCAGACTACACAGAGAAGCCATTGAAATACACAAGCATGTGGACAATTTCAACAGAAAGGAGGAAACCATGAAAATGAACAAAATCTGGCTACCAGTATTAAACAACTCTAAAATTGCAACAGCACAACAACAGAGAGGAAACAAACAAGGACATCTAATCACCTCTCAACAAAAGTTTGCTCCAGGACACTGTCAGCCCATTATATGCTAATCAAGGTGGTCAGTTGAAACATTCACACCTAGCTCCAGCAGACAAGAGTCCTTTGTCTCACCCTGGTCATTCCACAGATATATAAACCCTTTTTCCTAGTTCCAACAGACCTCACTACCTCTGAGGATGCTTGCCATAGATGCAGGCGAAACGTCAGGAGAGAATGCCTCTAGACCAGTGGTTCTCAACCTTGGGTCCCCAGATGTTTTTGGCCTACAAATCCCAGAAATCCCAGCCAGTTTACCAGCTGTTAAGATTTCTGGGAGTTGAAGGACAAAACTTCTGGGGACCCACAGGTTGAGAACCACTGTTCTAGAACTTTCCATTGAAATACTAAAAAAAATTATTTGTTAAAATTGTTCTTCATTTTAATTATTGTATTGTTTTTAAGTGTTTTTTTGCACTACAAATAAGATATGTGCAGTGTGCATAGGAATTCATTCATGTTTTTTTCAAATTATAATCCGGCCCTCCAACAGTTTGAGGGATTGTGACCTGGCCCTCTGTTTAAAAGGTTTGAGGACCCCTGCTGTAAACGATGGGGAATCTCCATTATGTTGTATTCTGACTTTGTCTTAACATATCACTTTAATTTTTAAAACATTTTAAAGAGTTTGAGTACTCACCCATTATAATTCTGGGAATGTTTGTGCATGCCTTTAAAAAAGAGTGAACAAGTGACAGATACAAGCAATTCAATCTTCCTTCCACTCCACTTTTTTGTCTTCTCGTTTAAAATGTAGCCCCTTGGACCCTGTGCACAGTCATATACCAGATATGTAGGGAGCAGGAGCTGCTTCTTCCTGCAGCAAAACTATTCATAGAATCATAGAATCAAAGAGTTGGAAGAGACCTCATGGGCCATCCAGTCCAACCCCCTGCCAAGAAGCAGGAATATTGCATTCAAAGCACCCCTGACAGATGGCCATGCAGACTCTGTTTAAAAGCTTCCAAAGAGGGAGCCTCCACCACACTCTGGGGCAGAGAGTTCCACTGCTGAACGGCTCTCACAGTCAGGAAGTTCTTCCTCATGTTCAGATGGAATCTCCATTCTTGTAGTTTCTTGTATTCCCCTTTGGCCATCCCTCTTGGCAGTTAATCCCTATTGGATGCAGGAGAAGGAGAACATTAGCATCTGCCATGCATCTTTCCAGAGACCAGAGTAGGTTGGAAAGAGAAATTTCTCTCTCCAACCAGTCCAACCTTGCATATTCTTATATCTTCCACTGCAATAGTGGAGGGATAGATTTCTTTTGTAAAAACCAGAAACTAAAATTATGCCTTTTTAAATGTGCAATTAAAAAAACCAGTTGCTGCTGAATATGAATTTTTGAATGTGAAATTATGATGAATACATACATTAAGACTCACATTTTAGTGTGAATCCACATTTCCGTTCTTTCAAGTGTGCCAGTAAAGTAAACCTAGCTAAATCCATGCATAGGATTGTAATTTCAAACCTGAAAGGTACAATCCTATGCATAGATAAGATTGTACATATCTGAATGTTTTTGACTGCCATGAAAATGATATGCCATAATATCTCTTGGCTATCAAATGCTAAAATGCCATGAAATATGTCAGCTAGGAAATACTATTATTTCAGCTAAGATTTTCTGTCTTTGATCTGAAAGAGACGAGAGAACTAAAATTAAAGTTACACCCTAATAATAATAATAATAATAATAATAATAATAATAATAATAATCCTTTATTTATACCCTGCTAACATCTCCCGAAGGACTCGGTGCGGCTTACAAGAGGCTGAGGCCCAACACATCAATAAAACAACAGCATAACAAATACAACAATAAATAAACTCATAAAACAAGCAATAAACATTAAAACAATAGCAATAAACATTAGACAATAACACCATGACACATTTAAAATTAAGGCCGGGCCAAATGTAATGATTTTAAAAGTAATCTTGCAGTTTCCCTTCCCTGGGTGACTGCGAAGGGCGATGGATGGCAGGGGAATGACGTGGACGTGGCTACACCCAGCTCTTCTTGACGGCCACTGGGGGAAACCGCATCGCCGCTTGTCGCCAGGGAGGCCAGGGAAACTGCGAGATTTTTAACTAACGGGGGAGGGGCACTTTCCATTAATGAAGTAAACGAAGGTATTCAGATTTTTGCAATTTCTGATCTTTTTTTCAAGAAATTTGGAGAAATAATTTTAAAATCAAAACACCAGCGCCCCCTATATACGAAACTAGTGTAGAACCATTTTTTTCTTGATCAACCAAGCCTACTATCTATATTTATGGCTGGATGGCTCTTTGTCAGGAGGGTTTTGATTACATTTTCTTGCCCTGGTGAAGGGAGTTTGATTGCATGGCCTTAAGTATTTTCTGTTGGTCATGGGGGTTCTGTGTGGGAAGTTTGCCCCAATTCTGTCATTGGTGGGGTTCAGAATGCTCTTTGATTCTAGGTGAACTATAAATCCCAGTAGCTACAACTCCCAAATGTCAAGGTCTATTTCCCCCAAACTCCATCTGTGTTCATATTTGGGCACATGGAATATTCGTGCCAAGTTTGGTCCAGATCCATCATTGTTTGAGTCCATGGTGCTCTCTAGATGTAGGTGAACTACAACTCCCAAACTCAAGGTCAATGCTCACCGAACCTTCCAGGGTTTTCTGTTGGTCATGGGAGTCCTGTGTGCCACGTTTGGTTCAATTCTATCATGCTATTTATTGTTGTAAATCCCAGCAACTACAACTCCCAAAAGACAAAATCAATTTTATTTTGAGTGAAGGACGTATATTGGATTGTTAGGTGTATGCTGTCCAAATTTGGTGTCAATTCATCCAGTGGTTTTTGAGTTATGTTAATCCCACAAACAAACATTACATTTTTATTTTGTTGTTGTTGTTCATTCGTTCAGTCGTCTCTGACTCTTCGTGACCTCATGGACCAGCCCACGCCAGAGCTCCCTGTCGGCCGTCACCACCCCCAGCTCCTTCAAGGTCAGTCCAGTCACTTCAAGGATGCCATCCATCCATCTTGCCCTTGGTCGGCCCCTCT